TTATAAACAATTTAGAATGTTACCCTCACACACTATTGATAGTAATTACCTTTAAGAAATGGGGCTAGAGTGTTGGGTAAGACATTCACTTTTTCATATGCTCTAAAATAAATCTGTGACCTTGTGAACTCTTTTACTTTATTTTAATGTTCTTTTGTGTTTTCCAAAGTTTCTGTAGTCAAAATTGTTTATTTAATTAAAATATATGTATATATACAATGTAGAATTATCTGCTGGATAATGGTGATGCCATACAAACCACATTAAAATTCAAGTGAATTAAAATTAGAAACTACTATTAAAAAAATGAATTACCTTAGAGTTAGTAGCAGCTTATAGAAGCCATTTCTTTTCCCATACAAGCAGAAACCAGGCTTCGAGGGAGCCAAAATGCTGCCTGGACTCGAAAACCAGCCATCGTCTGTATGCTTGCTCTGTAAGCAGTGTCCTCCAGGCTTACAGTGTTCATTCTCGTTATATCAGGGTTAAATAGACTCTAGTGCCAGTGCATGGACTTCTATTCCAGAGAACATAAGATTGGGAGCCTAATATTAGACTGGGATCTAATGACTAGTCTAGAAACTCGCACTTCATTCCAAGGGTCGTGGGTTCCACAAGTACTAACAAATGGGGTCGTCTGGGTAGTCTGAAAGATTTTGACAATATTGTAAACCCCTAATCACTTGAAAAATTTAGTATAATGAAGCATATTTTAATAATTTCCATAGTCCTTTCTCTATCTCACTTTGTCTTTTTTGAGTTTTTATTCATCATTGTTCAGCTTTGTATATTATTATGGCTACTTCAGTAGTGTATCTAATTTAAGGGTAGCTTTTTAGAGACTAACATTATGCATTCATTGCCTTTTTTAAAAATTTTGAACAGAATTGACCTTCATATGTAGTAGAGTTAGCATTTACCTGTAATAACTAACATAATAAATATTTCTACACAGCTTAACAGCCCTTAACTGTACTCCTATTTTGAACATATCATCTAAATAATAATGGCTACCATTTGTTGAACGTGTACTGAGTGCCCAGTATTTTAAATATCTATCTACCCTGATAGTATAGTTGAGGAAACTTAATCTCAGAGAAATTAAGTAATTGTTCTTAAGTCGCCCAGATAATAAGTGATAGAATTAGCTTTATTTTATTTATTTATTTGTTTGTTTGTTTATTTATTTTTATCCTCACCCGAGGACATTTTTCCTCTTTTTTTTTTTTTTTTTTGTTCAGATAGAGTGGGAGGGAGAGAGAGAGAGAAAAAAAAACATCGACGTGAAAGGGACACATGGAGTGGTTGCCACCCACACGACCCAACCAGGGCCAGGGACAAACTGCAACCGAGTTATGTGACCTTAGAGGGAACCAAACCCAGTCTCTCTGGACCACAGGCTGACACTCTAACCACAGAGCAAACCGGCCAGAGCAGAATTGACTTTTAAATCAGGATTTTCTGAATCCACAGTTAATCCTCTACTACTTCGACAATAGTATACACTTTCACTGTCTCTCATTCTCTGCATACTTCAAATTACTCTTATAACTATTTTTTTCAGCCACAATGCAGCATTTCTCTGTAACCTTCAAAGGAATCTTACCCTCAAAGATCTTAGTCATCAGAAGACATTATCTAAATTTCTGAATTACTTACCAAAGTAAAAAAAATTTCAATCAGTATAATAAAAAGATAAGGGTACTACATGGAGGGACCTGGAAAGTATCATCCTAAGTGAAACAAGCCAAACAGAGAAAGACAAGTATCATGTGATCTCACTTATTTGTGGAATGTAATGAACGTAACAGTCTGAGGAATGGGGTAGTCCCAGAGATGTGGAAGTGGGGTACAGACTGACAATCCCCAGAAGAGGGGGTGGTGGGGGAGAGATAAACCACAGAACTTGTATGCATGAACAATGGACATGGACAACAAAGCTGGGGACAGGGCAGAGAGGGAGGGGGAGGGGGGAATCAGTGGGGGGAAAAGGAGAAACATCTGTAACAAAAATTAATTAAAAAAAAAATAATAAGGGTATTCATTGGACAGAACAAAGATATGGTTGCTAGTCCAGCTGGTGTGACTCAGTGGTTTAACATCGACCCATGCACCGAGAGGTCGCCAGTTCGATTCCTAGTCAGGGCACATGCCCAGGTTGTGGGCCTGATCCCCAGTACAGGGCATGCGGGAGGCGGCTAATCAATGTTCTCTCTCATCGGTGTTTCTGTCTCTCTCTCCCTCTTTCTTCCTCTCTTGAAAATCAATAAAGGAAAAAATAACAACAAAAAAAAACTTGATTTCTTTAAAAAAAAAAAAAAGATGTGGTTGCTAGTCCCTGTGTTTATATAACTTCAATAAATAGGAAGTAATTAAATTTATCTAAGAAATGCATAATGAGAGCCTAAAGTAGGCATTGATGGTGAAAGTCAAGAAGAGCATTTATATGTGAGAGAGATTGGAAAATGATATATTTTAGCAGTGATTCAGTGAAAGGGGGGAAAAACAATCTCAGCAGAAGTTTAATGTCTGATCTTGACAGAAAATGGTTCCGCAATCAACTAGCGACTTCAGAAGAAGGAACAGAGTTGGGTGGGAAGGAAAGGAATTTAAGTTTGTACATAGAGCAATTGTAATTATTGTGACATCTAGCCTCTGCTATTCCTCTAGATCTGGACCCTTGAAATGTGGCTAATTTGAATTGAGATGTATAAAGTACACACCAGCTTTAGAAGATGTAGTACTAAAAAAGAATGTAAAACATCATAGTAATATTTTTATATTGGTTGCATGTTGAAAATATTTTGGATATTAATTTAGCCTGTTTCTTTTTACCATTTTTTAATGTGGCTGCTGAAAAACTTAAAATTGCATATGTGCCTTACCTTATATTTCTGTTGGTCAGCACTAACATACATGGAGATTTTTAATAGAAAGTTAGAAATGCAAGACCAAAATCAGGGCAAAACATCTAGATTTGGAAATAATCTAAGTAAAGGTGATACTTGATGTTATGTGATGATTAGATAAAAATGCCAGTGTACAGGGTATGGAAATGAGAAAAATGCCAACAATTATAGGATGAGAAGAGAAAGAGTAACTAGGAGAAGGAGAATTGGAGAATCAAGGCTTTTAAGTGGTAGATAAGTCTGATTAGGATAGAATTTCAAGAAGGAAGGAGTGGTTAATGTCATTGAATGATAGGCCAAAGAGGAAGAGGAGGACTAAGAAAAGGCCATTGAATCTGGTTGTTACAGAAGCAGTTTCAGTAGAGTATAAGAAGGATAGATTGCAAGAGATTAAGAAGTTAGAGGTCGATGAAGTAGGCTGTGTATATAAACTATTCTTTCAGGCAAGGAGTCCACTTGGGAAGATAATAATCACTTGATTGGAGCAGAGTCCAAGGAAATGTGAGCATGTTTGTTGGCTGAATAAAAGGATCTTTAAAGTAGGAGTGCTTGAAGCTGTAAGAAAGAGAAGATAATTTCTATAGTAATGTCCTAATGCATTGAGTGTCAAACCTGAGTGCATAATAGAATCACCGGGGAACTTGTCACAAGAGCAAATTCCCAGGCAACCAACATCCAACATCTAAAGAGATTATATTATATGGAGGTTGGTCTTCTGGAAGAAGCCATATTAGCAAGTTTTTCTGAGTGATTATGTTGTATCCTGAAGGGCAGACAAGTTAACAAAATTAAGGGTACAGTTAAGTACAGTGAAATGGCTGACCATATCATCCAGAATGGCTGGAGAGCCAGTTGGGGTTAGAATAGAGCCAGTGGACCATGAACTATGGTTAAGGATTTGGCTTTCATTATTTTAAGAGTAAGCACAGGTTCAGCATGAATGAATGACTGAGAAAGCTAAAAAGGTAATAGGTGTTGATCGGAGAGGGAAGTTTCAGAATTCAGAATCTTGGAGGCCAAGCAGATACACAATATGGCTGTGTGTGCTTGATATGAAAAAGAGGTAAAAAGAACTGAGCCATGTACATTGTAGGACCTATTAGTATGGTGACTATTATAGGACAGTGGCAAAAACATATCAGATTTGAAGATCATGGGGAAAAACTAAAGGTTGAAGTATAGAATTATTTAGACTCAAGATTTCACTAAACTTTGGCATGAGTGTCTTTGTCTCAGTCTCTGTGATCCACTCTAGCTTTAGTTGAAAATAGAGTGGATGTTTAACATTCGCAGGTATAAAATGCATTGTGTTGACTGTTCACAAGTGACCCTAAGGGTTCATCACATGGTAGTTAATTTTTTCCAAAGCATGAATTTGACTCCTGTCCTAATACTGGCTTGTAGAAACCAGTCACTTACCTAGTGGCTTACAGTGAGGTCACCACTTGCATTTCGGTTTGCCTTTGATGTATGTTTGCATTCATCATCAGAATACATCAGTCTGGTAGTTTTCATAGAAGAGGAAATTATTTCCCAAATTGTGGTATTAAATGGGTATTAATAGGTATTAAAATTTTTATTGAGTTTATAAAAATTTTAGCACTGCAGCTAACTTGTAATAATTGCTTAATAAATGGCAGTTATTTGTGCCAGTTCAGGAATTCAACTAGTTTTAAAGCCAAATCTTTATATATATGCCCAGGTTGAGTGAATAGTACTTACATTAAAAATTTTGCTTTGATTTGGATCTCCACGAATTATTATACTGAAACTAAAATGTTAAATTTGCAAATAATTTAAAGGGAGCAAAATGGGTCATTTATCACTTACCTGCTTCTGTTTGATATACTTGAAAGGGTGTATATTTTATAATAAATATTACATTACTATTATGAATAATTACAACTTAAAAAATATCCTTTAAGTACATTACTGTACCACAAGTACACATACACAAAAACAAAATGAATTACATTATACACTTTGTTTTTCTTAGAGATCTAGTGTACCTGAAAACTGTACTTACTTATATTTGCTAAACAACTTTCTCTCAGTATATTATATACTTCTATAATTGTTTTTCCTTTATAGTGAAGAGCTCAGAAAAGAAGCAAGACAATTAAAGCGGGAACTCTTAGCAGCAAAACAAAAAAAAATAGAAAATGCAGCAAAACAAGCAGAAAAAAGAAGTGACGGTAAGAGCATTTATCAGGCTTATATTTTTACTTGGTACTTCTCCTTCTTCCTTCCTTCTTTCCTCCTCTTTTTCTCTTCCTTCCTTCCTGAGTTCAATTTTGCTACTTTTTTTTTTTTAATACTTTCTTTGGACAGCCAGTAATGTAAATTTTCACCTAGGACTTTTGTCTGAGAAGCAAATTCAATCAAACATGATTGTGACTATTGTTCCTAAATTTAAAAAAGTACTTGACATCAGGCAAAATTTAAATGTTGCCATAGCACATATCTAGAAGTGCACAGAAAATGAATGTTCATTTTTTTGTGTTGTATGCCCTTTAAAATATCAAAGAAAAGTATTTAGACCCTATGTTTGATACTTGTGTAAACAGTTGTACATTCATTTGAGTAGTGTTAAATAGACTCTTGTTTGTTTTTTGTTTTGTTTTGTTTTTTTAATACATTTTTATTGATTTTTAAAGAGAGAGGAAGGGAGAAGGAGAAAGAGATAAAAACATTATATAAGAGAGAACCATTGATCGGCTGCCTCCTGCACAACCCCAACTGGGGTTCGAGCCCGCAACCCAAGCATGTGCCCTGACCAGGAATCAAACCAGTGACCTCTTGGTGCATGAGCTGATACACAGTCACTGAGCCACACCTGCCGGTCAGACTCTTGTTTGCTTTTTATTTGAGTCTAATGTTTAGGTACAGAAAATCTAAAACATTGATAAAACTGATCAAAATAACACCCTGATTAATAGATTTAATGTGTTCTTTATTTCACTATGATTTTTATAAAGCTCAAAGCTTCAAAAAAACTATTTCACTGAGATCTTTGGTTTAAAACTGTTTCAGCTATAAAGGTGTAACATTCAATTTTCAAATAACACATTGGAAACTTCAAATCTGTTTTCTTTTTAAAATAATAAATTACATGGGGATTGTTACTTATAATTAAAAGCATTTTACATATATATATGAAGGTAAGTCCTTTCAACTCGAAAGATCTTTTACTTAAAATTTTTAATTCACTTTGAGCTAATAATTATTGGTACCCCATATCTGGAGAACCATGCTGGACTAGGGGTGTGCTTTTGGCAAAAGATGGATGGTTCCTGCCTTCATAGTTCATGATCTAGAAGGAGTGTGAGAATTGAAAATTGATAATTGTTGTAATAGTGAAGTATAGTTAGGGCCTATATTAGACATAAACAGTGCTGTATTTACGTATTTGCTTTTGAAATATTGAATACAAGTAGGTAAAGAAAGATTTGAGCCTTAAACAATGATTTCTTAACATGAAAGAGAAGATTCTTAATGGAGCTTATTTCAATCTTTTTATGTGACAGCCATGTTAAAAGAAATGTTTTTATCATAATTAAAAAGATAATTATATCTTTTCTGAATTTAATTTTCTTATATCATCTAAAAATACCTGGATTTTGCCTAAATCTGAATGACAGTTAAAATTGACTTCCAAAAATTTTGGGTCATAGTTTCTATTTTTCTTCTAGTCTCAGAATGAGCCATATTTTTTTATTTATTTGTAATTGTTTTTATTTTGAAATAATTTTATGTTTACAGGGAAATTATTAAAATAATAGACTTTCCTTATACTTTTAATGTTAAGGTCTCATATAACCATAGTACAATGATCAAAACCAAATAATTAATGTTAATATAATACTATTAACTAATGTAGACCTTATTAGAATTTCACCAGTTTCCCCATTAATGTCCTTTTTCGGTTTTATGATTCCATATTGCATTTGTCTCCTTATTCTTCATGATCTAAGTATTTTCTTGCCTTTCATGACATTGACACTTGGAAAAATCCAGGTGAGATATTTTGTAGAATGCCTCACCTTGAGTTTGTCTGGTGTTTTCTCATGATTGGATTGAGGTTATGCACTTTTTTTTTTTTTTTTTTTTTTTTTTTGGCAAGATCGCCACATAAGTGGTATGTCCTTCCCAGTGCATTATAACAAGGGTAACAAGATGTCTATTGTCTTTTTACTGGTGATATTACCATGATCTCATGTTGAAAGGGGTGTCTGCTGAGTTGCTGCGCTATAAAATTACTCCTTTTCCCTTTGAGATAATATGTATTTGGGGGAAGATACTTTGAGACTATATAAATATTCTGTTTCTTTTCAAGCTTCCCCCACTAATTTGTTTGTTTGTTTTTGTTAATCCTCACACGATATTTTTCTATTGATTTTTAGAGAGAGTGGAAGGAAGGAAGGGAGGAAGGAAGAGAGAAAGAGAGAAACATCAATGTAGAGAGACATATCAATTTATTGCCTCCCTCAGGGCCGGGGTTTGAACCTGCACCCCGAGTACGTGCCCTTGACTGGAAATCGAACCCACAACCTATCCATCCATAGGTTGTTGCTCTAACTGCTGAGCCAGACTTGCCAGGGCTTCCCTCACTAATTTCAGCATCCATGGATGGATCTTGCCTGCAGGAAACAGTTATTTACTATGGTGTTATAAAGGTGACTTTCTGTGTCCTTGATTCTGATTCCTCAGAATTCTTCTAAGGAAGAGATCACTCTTCTATATTTAGGTATTTAGTTATGTCAGTATGGCTTATAAGTATTTATCTTATTCCATGTGTTATAATCCCAAACAGTCATTATTTGTCTCACCCTTCAGATATACCAGCATTGGCCTTTTGTAGCTCTTTCTGATGGGCCTCTGTGTCCTTTCATCTTCCCCCATCCTTTGAGTACTTTCTTACTTTCTGGCCCAAGATGCTCCAGGTTGATCTTGCATTTTGCCTTTTGCACGCCTGGAATGAAGCACTTCTCCAGCGAACTCTGGTTTCTCTTACTGGAGTTTATATTTAGAAAATAAGATGTGGTGTCCAGCCAGTGTGGCTCAGTAGTTGAGCTTCGGCCCATGCACTAAGAGGTTGCTGGTTCGATTCCCAGTCAGGGCACATGCCCAGGTTGTGGGCCCGATCCCCTGTGGGGGCATGCAGGAGGTGACCAGTTCATGTTCTCTTTCATCAATGTTTCCATCTCTTTCTCTCTCTCCCTTCCTCTCTAAAATCAATAAAGGAAAACAAAAAAAATTTTTAAAGAAAACAAGATGTGGACACTAAGTTGGCCATTTTATTTTGATTCTAATATTGTTAAGTGTTACTAGAAGCAATATTGTATTATCACTATCTTAGAATGCTTAATAAAATTCATATTTAGCCCCTATCTATGATGCATTATGGATTACCTTTTTCTTAGGATTATATTTCCTCTAAACTTACTTCAGTCTTTTCAGCAATATGTATTGCTGATAAGATAATAAGAAATTATTTAGCATGAAAGATTTGTGAATTTCAGTAAACACTACATTTTATTTAATATTCACATGTTCCAGTGTTAGTCTAGTAGTCCTTCTTTCTCCGTGGTTGAAAATGATACTGTGAACCATCTCACTGCATAGCATTGTGGAAACAGAGTAGAATTTTAGGTATCCTTGAATGTATGCTGGAATTAAGTCTCTCTTCCCAGCCAACAGATACTCCAAGGTTAGAACTATGTAAACTCTGGGAATGGATCCAAAAGTTCTCATGTGCATTTGCATAGTAAGATTATCACAGGAAAAGAAGTTGGAAAGTGTTATTTGACCATGGCTTTATAGCTTCATGCATCAGTTGAGCCAAATACCCTCCTAAACCTATTCAGGAAAGATTACTTGATTGAGCTATATAACTAAATATCAGGCTTTTATAAAGCACTTTATTTTAGTCCAAGATAAATTATCTGAGTATTATGGCAACTCTGTATGATCTGTCTGGTCTTTTGAACATGATCTGCTATATCTAGCAGTTTAATTTGCCAATAAACCTAGAAGTAGACATTGTATTTTTAGTAGTCATTTTGACAGTAATACTCGGTGCTCATTATATATAACGCCAGTAATTATCAGAATGCTTTGGACTATTATTTTTTTCTCAAAAAATAAGCAGAGGAGTACAAAGACTCTTAATTCCAGTTACTAACAGTGAAGTTATCTAAACCTTTATAACTCAGTTTTCTTATCGTAAAATGCCTCATGCACCTCTCAGTTTTCCATAAGAAGTAAATTAAATGAGGAGAAAACCTTTGATAAATTTACATTGCTATATAAAAACAATAATTTTATATTTGGAAGAAAAAATACAGCTGTTTATGGTTCTATTTTATTTTTTATTCAAATCCTACAAATTGAAAATATAAATTTTAATATTATGTTAGTTGCATTTAAAGCTTTTAATCAATATGGCTACATATAAATATGACAAAATAAAATCTCAAAATAAACTTTTGTTTCATGTGTTCTCACAGTTGCATGTAAAGGAGTATGTGTGTGTGGACTTGTATACATTCTTAAGTAAAACTTCCAGCACTGTTATTTCCTGATTTTATGAATTCATCTGGCAAGTCTAATACAAGTTTACCATTGACACTTCATTATAGGATTTAATGTATTATCCTTGGATTAAAAGCAGTTGGGAAGGAACCCATAAAAACACAAAAGCTTTGTGTTCTAACGTACCTGCATCAGTGTACTTCATTTGTCCTTCTTCTGTGAGTGGAGGTCTTCCATTTAGCCTGGTGCTCTAATAGGCATAATATTTTCTTTAGGGCTTCTGTTGTCAGGAAATCAACTTTGATTGGGAAGTAATATTCCTTTGGTTGTATCATCTTTACCCAATTTCCTGGGCCAGAGTTATACAGCTAATTGGGGATTTATATTCTACCCATAGTTCTGGTTCTAAATCTGTTCTGTCACTTGAAGCAAATTATTTCAAATTCAGAAACCATCCATTCCTCACCTATATATAAATTTAAAGATAAGACCTACTATTCCTATATTTTTATGTCTTACTGTATTTACTTTTTATAATTTCTTCAGTTCCATTATGATAAAATAACTATAAATCACTTGAAAGAGAGATTGTTGTTTTATATTAATAATTACTTGAGGCTCTATACAACTGAACCGGCCTAAATGCATTGCTCTTTGATAT